CCTTCACATTCTTGACTTGCAGTCAAGTCTTTATAATCTCAGTTTCAAACTGAGTACACGTTTTCTGTCTCATGAGGATGAGACTTTGGGGAATGACACACACACGGCATATGTTCATAGTTACGGTAGAAAATAGCTTCATATTAAAAACTTGTTTACTTTTTTGAAATTGAATCTTCTGACAGATAGGACCTATGTTAAGTATAAGTTTAAATGAGTACTTCACAACTCACTCTCTTGGAATAAAAGCATATCACAAATCACATATGCATATTAAAACTGCTTTTGTGATGCTCTCAGTCTGTGCCTTTCAGTAAAATCGCAGGCGTATTTTTCGGTAACATTGGGAACCAAGTACTATCTTGTGAAAGCACAACGGCAATCTTAGACCTTACACAATTTTTTAAAGCTTGTGTGAGCATTTTTAATAAACATTAGATGCTTTAAACTATATTTTACTACTTAGGCGTATTATTATTACATCTTTTGTGTGTCTTATTTGTATTCCTTATTTTCCCCTTATCTGTAAAGTCAATACTGTGTCACTCTGTGTACTACAATAAGGAGGACAGATAGTATAAGTGTACAGTTAAGAAGTATGTGGTTTTTTTCTGCTATGAATACATACAGTTTCTTCCTGTAAATTCATATAAGTCTTTCCAGAATTTCTAGAAAATCCCGTGTGATATAATGGCAGAAGAAAAAGAAAAAAAATTGTTTTTCCTTAAGTATATAAGAAAGAATTCTACAAACTTATACCAATGGAGATGCAAGTTTCCATTTTTTTTTCCTATTAAAAGGGACTACTTCTAAAATAGTTTTGAAACAAGAACACCACATCATTCAAGAAAATGTTTCCTGACAGATAGGTCATCTCTTGAAGGGCAGCTTGCATTTTTAAATCCTGCTTGTCTGTAAATCTCTGTTTAAAAAAAATCTGCTCTGAAGTGTTACTATTGTAAGAACTAGATAGTTATTTACTCCCTTGAAGTTGCTAGAGTTTATTCCTATAATGAGAATGATGTGCACATTTTGCATTAATTTATCTAGCACTTTCATCCCATTTTATTTCTGTGGGACTATGAAAAGCAAAGACAAAATTCTGGGAAAATCTGATGATCAGCGTGGTTAGTCATGTAAAGAGCCTGGTTTTAGTTATATTAGGCTAGATCCGCAAAAAGTGCAATTTCATTTCTGAACTGTTGTTACAAGTATCTACCTGGAAATCTTAGATATTCAAAAGCCTTGCTCAGCTGCTGCTTGAACTTGGAGATACCTAGTCCTTTGTGTCCAAACTCCTTACATAGCTGAAATTTTGCTTTCTCCTAACCTGAAACATACTGATAACAAAGTGTTTTTCTGATCGTTTAGGACCACCATTCATCTGACATGTGGGATTAAATGAGGGAACCAGCTAGAGCAGACAGGAACACACGTGTTCATGGTGCGTAGGAGAGGACATGGTTGGCCAGCCTGCAGGCTGGGGATCTGCAGGGCAAAAGATTCCCATTTGTGTACTGTCAACCTTTTTGTGGTCTTTAGAATTGTGGTCCCGAGTTCTGATCCTCTGAGAGAGAGGAGAAAAAAAAAAAAAAAAGAATTTGTGTCTCCCATATCCTGGTTGACTGTTTTAATTTTGAGTCGTATTAAATAAAAACAATATGAGCTGTCTGCTTCATGCTACCTGTCCACCTCTATGGGTAAATTTACCTCTTAGCGTGTCAGATAACCTGGACCAGTGGATCACAGAAAGAAGCAACACTTGTAGTTTTATAGAAGCCAGATTGAATCTCGACCAGTAAGGAGTCTAAAATCCATAAAGCAACTCACCTTTCTTCCATCCAAAAGACTAACTTCTGTTTTTGACCATGTCTATCAATTAATTTCTCTACTCCGGGCTTTCACTCCAAGAATTCCTTCCTCCCCTTCAAATACCTTTCCTCCATCTGAATTTAGCATTGTCTGATTGGATGAACAGAAAATAAATAAAATGCATTTGAACTTTTGTTGTTTCCATTGGGTTATGGAGGATTTTCTCAGGATTTTAAAAGTTAAAACCATTAATTGTTATTCAGTGCAGAAGCTTGTCAAATTTAGGGACACTTTCTAAGAACTTGATCTAAGTTCACTCTGTTTTCTCCAGATTTTCTTTCTTTCTTACAATCATTTTTTCAGCTGAATTGTGTTCTTTGCTTGTGCATAATCTATGAGACAGGTAAACACAATTCCTTTCATCCTAATGATAACATCTTGTATTATTTACATGCTATGTTAGACTATTTTTTTCTGGTTATATGAACATACTAGGAATGGCATTGTTTATGTTAACATGGAGATCAGTTCTGACAACACATACAGACAAAATCAATTTCATTACTCAAGTCAATGAATATTTTTATTTTTTACCTGTTTTTACTGAACCAAGAAGTTTGTTTTTTTCCTGAAGGGACACAGAAATATTACTCTCCAAGCCATTCAAGGTACAGTGTGTTAGCACTGGGTTCGAGTGCACTGACTAGCTGTCGTTTTGTTTCTCTGACACATCTCAGCGGCAGTGACCAGACCTGTTGGTTCTTTGGGATGATAGCAATGACCTTCTCAAAACTGGTAGCTTTCTGCCGTGGAGAGAGAATATTCTACTCATCTAATATTACTATAAAGTTTATACATGTCCAGGGCCATAATGGCATCCTTATAATGAAGGACAAAGCACAGCTTGTGTCTTTCAAGTGGCTGATTTTTTGGGGTATGCTGATATAGCTCAAATTAAAAACTTGTCTTTAAATATTACATAATATTAGTTCTTGATTTTGTAGAAAATATCGTGGTATAAATTATCAGTAATCCATATGCAGAAATCAAAGCTTTTCAGTGAAAGCATAAGAAGGCATGCTACAGAATAAAGTAGATAAACATCACCCCAGTGGAAATGCCTAAAACCGCTGAGGAGCGGAGCTGCCCCCCTCTTGGGTCAATCTGCAGCCTGGACCAAGGGATCGGCCGTAGCAAACAACACCTCTTCGTACTGTTGGACGAGCTAGACTAAATTTCAACCACAAAAAAGGAAATAAAATCAGTCTTTGACTGTGGCTGGACCAGGCCATGTTTCTTTTGTGAGAAATGGGAGATGAGGTGTGCTGTTAAAAAGAACAGGATATTCATGGCACTTAATTCTAAATCGTATCTATGAAAAATGAATAGTGAATTTTTGTCTTATATTTGCCAAAACAGAACTACTTGTACTAGGAAAGCACTTAATCCAAACAAGGCAAAAGTGAATCTACTGATTTGGAAGAGGAACCTAAAATCTATCGTAGACCAATTAAGATGATTAAGGTTAAACAGAGCAAAGTTCATTAGTCCTTCCCAGAAGTAACGTTCTGCTGAAGGAAAAAGTTGAAGGTGTGGTTTGTAAGTTGCATTTGCGACTGGTTTTAAGTAGCTGAAGGTACTGAACTTACAAAAGGTTACTTAGTTTCTTTCTTGGGTGCTATAAAAATGGTTTCTTTAGCAAGGTTCTTGTACTGCAGATAAAGGTTCACATGGGTCACCAGTCTAAGGGCATCCCTGCTAGGAAGGCCCCTTCTCTTGGGAGTGTGCTTTGCTTTTCAGTTAGGTTAAGTCCAAATTTAAACTAGAGAGGACACCGGTAAAAACTCCATTTATTTTAATTTACTTCTGTTCACTTACTGGAAGTTCACTCTCATCTTTCTTCCTTTGACTTTTGGTAATTTTGTTACTGTTCGTACGCGAGAGTAATTACTCAGCTGGTTAATGAATTATGATGCTTATGTTACAGGGAAATCTTTGAAACTTAAAAATAGAAATTAAATTGCTTGTTAATTCCCTCTAGTGACAGGTGATGAATATACCAAAATTAAACATTAGTCATAGATGGAAGCAACACGGTTGCTAAGTTGCTCAACTCCCTGGTACCTGGGTAAGATGGAGGAGTGATGTCAAATGCCTACCTAGTTCGGTTCTTCATGAAAAATCAAAAGATTTCTTTTCTCCCTTGGTCCCTCGGGAGAGGAGGCTCTATTTTTTTCTCTCCTGTCAGTTGGGGTATCTCTGAATTGTGTGATTCTAGTATGTGTACTTTGCTGTCCACTATTATAAACTACCTTTTTTTAGGTCTTATTTCATTAAGAAGGAGAGCTATATTAGTTTTATTTTATTATCTAGGAAATTTATTTAAATTTTAATTGCATATGACTTTGAAATAATTAATTAGCAGATGTGTATAAAACAATTCAGAATTAACCCTTCAGAATTAATACATAAAACGTATTTTTTTAATACTGTTTTACTTGTGAAAAAAATAATATACTTACAGTTCTATAAGCATGCTGCTATATTTCTCTGTGTGGAAGAATGATGAATTAATATTAGGCTATTATTTTTACTCAGTGTTCCCTAATACATTTCATTATCACATTTAAATACTAATATACTTAGTTCATCTCAGTATTTTTTAAACAAGTGTTCCTTATAAGTGTGTTTAGTTGAGAACATTTAGAAATCGTATTGAAAATTATTTCTTAAATCTGTTTTAATCTGTTTTCTTTAATCTGAGTTTAATGTCATTGCTTTCAATTGGTTGATGTTACTCGTTGTTTTAGTCCTTCTTGCTACTCTTAGTAAGTCCTCCTTATTTCTGGAAATGCTTGATGGCCCAGGTGGAGCTATCGACCCTTCTGTTAAGTAACAGAATTGGTGCCTTCTTTTCCTGTATTTAGTTTGGGTTTGCCGAGGATAGCTTGTTTGGTAGAAAAATTAAAAGATGTAAAATGTCTATTAATTTGTTTTCTTTCTCTTTTCCTCGGACATCTTTATTTCTACTTTTTCTCTATTCTGCCATGTTTCATTTAGCAGACAGCACTTTGAAAAGCAGTTCTATTCCTTAACCTTGTTGTCATTTCACAGCAAGTTTTTCTTCTTGTGATAAACATGATAAACCCACTCTTCGCTTGACTGAATGATTAATGTTGTCTTTGCAGGATGTGGTACTGCAGCAGGAGGAGCTGAAGATGAAGGTGAGGCTGAAGCTGGCTGGATTGAAGGTGCTGCCATCCTACTGTCTGTTATCTGTGTTGTACTTGTCACTGCCTTCAATGACTGGAGCAAGGAGAAACAGTTTCGTGGGCTTCAAAGTCGTATTGAGCAGGAACAGAAATTTACTGTTGTCCGAGGTGGACAGGTTATCCAAATCCCGGTGGCAGAGATAGTAGTTGGTGACATTGCACAGGTGAAATATGGTAAGTTCTGTCAACATGACGTCTGCTTTTCTGGACTTTATTTATTCTCCTTTCCCTTTCTAGCAGAATAGACTCACTTCACTGGAAGTGATTTAAAAGACAGAGAATTATGTGGTGTCATTACTGTCCATGTTAAGATAACAATTTGGCTGTTAGAGCAAAAGGAAAGCCTAAGCTACTTGCAATAAAATTGCACTAGGCAATTCATATTATTTTTGTAATCTTCGCTTCCTTTCACTGACAAGGACAAAAACTGTTCATACAAAGGTAATTCTCTTTCATGGAAGATTACACTATTTGGAATTTTTGGTCTGTCCAGTTAGGAATAAGAGGAAGTATTTTTAAATGCTCTGTGAAAGGGAGTTGTGCCTCTGTGCTCACCCCACTTGGTACGCTGCTCCAGAGCTACGGATCCTATAAGTCCCCCCAGATCAGATGCTTCTGGTAGGTGGATGCCTTATGGTTACATGCCATAGGAAAAGCCCTGTGCTGCAGCGAACAGGAGGACTTTTGCAGGAATTCTGTGTTTGATTGAGCTGGTAAATTCCAGCAAAATGCCTGTTCTACCAGCCATCACGTTTCTCCTGGACTTAGCTAAGGGCTTCCTGAGAGGGGAGGGGGAAAGGGCAGCTTGACTGTTTATTAGCCACTGTTAATTCCTGTGAAGTCTGATAGAGGAACCTTCATGTCATGTTAAGAAGAGTCCTCCCCCTACCAAATCTCAGTGATTATTATGTTCATCGTAATTTAAATGTGATGCATTCTGATTCTGGGATAGCATTGGGCAAAAAACACTTGCAACACAAAGGCCCTTCGCTAGGGTTGCAATAATACGGCTAATATGGACCGATACGGTAATAGTTCTTTCACTTTTGCTTTCATTTTACATTTTAATGCAATTGTTGTTAAATGTGATTTTGTAATAAAAATCATTATGTAATTATTAATTAACAATCTTACTAAACTACTGTGGTTTTCCATTACCATGTTCTTACTGAAAGGTGATCTTCTACCTGCCGATGGGATATTTATTCAAGGAAATGATCTTAAAATTGATGAAAGCTCTTTAACCGGAGAGTCAGACCAAGTCCGCAAATCTGTTGACAAAGACCCAATGCTACTGTCAGGTAAATCTGCCTGAATTCTTGCTGAGTTATCTTTTATGCACTGCTTTGCTCATGTTTTGTTTTGTTTTGTTTTTCCACACCATCAGGTTTTGGTCGCCAAGATACAACTGATCTTTTGAACACAGACACTGGCCTTGTCTGTTTGTCATTCAAAAGTCATGCTATTGTTTTTTGATTGTGTTTAATTATTTCTGATCATCATACTTACTTCATAAAGTGAGAAAGTGATGAAACATTTTCAGAAGAAAAGGAAAGTATCACTTAATGAAGTTACAATTGTTTCAATTAATTGTATGCTAGTTTTAATTTAACCATTAAATTTCAAAGCCTTTTAAAGTCTCTTTAAATACTTTGCATGTGTACGAGAGACAATACAAAAAGAAACAATGTGCTTAGAAGGAAACGGATATACTAAAATATTGTGGGCTTGACCTCGGTGATAAATTCAAGTTATTTGTAGTATTTGTATTTTGTAATATAATACTATACAGTAAATCAGTTAAATAGAATGTGATTTTTTAATTCTAATAAAGATAGTTTCTAAATAGGTTGGTTGTCAATAGATTCCAGCTGGGATGTGATCACAAAATAACAGCCTGCTGTTCTCATAACGATCATCAATGTGTTATAACCCGAAACAGTCAATTTCAAATATGTTTGAGCTTTTTATTCATGGAAAGGATTCTCTTTGCTGTCTGGTTGTACAGTCATCCCAAATAGAATATTTATGTTGCAGTGCAGCAGGTAAGTACACATTCCTGCAGAAATCCTGCCCCCATCCTGCCTCTCTGAGCTGGTGTTTCCCAAGCAACAACTGTTGGGAGATGCTTTTGTTCAGAAGAGACAAGTAGCAACAAGTAAGGATATGTGACAGTTTTTATTGAATTAACAGTGCAAATCCTTTCCAAACTTAAAATCAGAAAATTAGTTCACTGACTATGAGATTATGAGTGTTTATTATGTAAATTGTGGGATTGTGGTCTGGTAAAAAAACCATCAGATTTCAGTCAAAAGGTGGCTGCATTAACTTAAGATGAAGAAATTGCACATGTTATTTGTGGACTTGTTATTGCCACAGACTTCATGTTACAAAAGACCGTGTTAATTAATTTTAACTTTAGCAAGCTTCAAGCATCTTTCTGCCTGAAATGGTGTATTAAAAATGATTTTTTTTTCAAATGACACAAAAATTTTCTATCGCTTCTGAGAACAAAGCAGCAAAACAAATTTCTTTTGCTCTTTTAGGAGAAAATTTTTTTTTGTTTCCTTAAAAATATTCTGGTTTTTATTTGTTAAATGTTTTTGCTGCAGTGTCCTTGCCAAGTGTATGCCTTTTGCTGTTCATGTTGTAAAACCCCAAGTTTTTCCAAGTTATAAATGTCTGAAAAATGTGTTTGCACATGTTCAGTAGAGGCTAATAAAGATTAGTGGAGTAGCTGCAAATTCTGAAGGCTGCATTTGTGCAGAGAAAATACAATTAAGAGCTCAGCATTTGCAGACAGCACACATATAGAAATGCTGAATAGTGGGGACAGTGTCACTTTTGAATTCTTGGTGTCCCTCTGGCTCCTTGATATACTGTAAGGTAACTTAAGGAAGTGTTCTGACTTTCATGAGTAGCGTATGAAACTACTGACTGTTATTTTTGCTAGATTTACAATAATTTGATTTATCCTAGTAGTGCAGATACTTAGGCTTAACTTGATTGTAGATTAAGAATTCTTTTGGAGATGCTTTCCAGTGTGTAAACAGGGAGGCCTGCAGTGATATTTTGAGGAAGGGTAGCTCACCGTTGTAATTTCTAATCCAATGTTGTCCTGGAAATATTTGTGCAATTTTTTTTCATTTGTTTTTTTCTTAGCTGATAGTTGTACTGTTTTGTAAATACAACTTCATAACTGGCACAAAATTTTCCTTTTAAAGAGATAGTTTTAATGATGATATTTTCTTATAGAAACTTCTGTCATGAAATATCATAGACTTCTATCAATTAAAATATCCTATTGTTGAATTCTAGAGGTTTTCTGATTATGAATTTTCCACTGATTCGTGTACTCTCACATATTCCTAAACTGAATTAGATCTTTTTGAATACTTACAGATTTCAAGTGGTGGCTGTGAAAAAACATGAAGGTATTGCCCTGAAAGGCATGGTGGGAAGAGAAGGGGAAAGCAGGCAAGCTAGGAGAAAAGATGTTTTTGTCTTGGTTCCCAAAACTCAAATTTCATTGCTGTAAGGAGAGAAATTTGTCTTTATGCAGAGTTAAATAAAGTTTATACTCTTTATTTTTCTCTATTATTATGTAATCTCTATTGTGATTACAAAGAAGGTGAAGAATTAATGTGATATTTTAACAAGCCCTGCACACACCTTTGTTCCATACCTATACTAATGAATTTTTACTCATGCCATGTTAGAAGATCCCTGAACTCTATTTGCTCAGGAGCAGAGTTGATGATTTGAGATTCTATCATGCAAAAAACTACCTTCTTCCATAGATATACAGTGCAAGGTTTAATCCCAATGATGTGGGAGCTGATGTGCCCACTGGAAATTGTTAGTAGTCCAAAAACTTCGGAACCACCATGTCTTTCAGGGTGGGTTTGACCTGGTTTAAAAACTGAGCTCCTCTTGGATGTTAGCCTAGACCTATATTTTTATAAAACTTGTTTAAATTAAAAAAAAACAAACAAACAAACTAACCCCCTGCAAAAACAGCAAACAGACCTTAAATTTTACTCTTATCTTTGCACCTGAAGACATCAGTAAGTTATCTCCAGGTACGCTTTCTGGAATTTAGACAAATATGGTCAGGATGTTGCTTGCCACTGTTCTCCCTTAATCATCTGTTGGAAATTAAAACAGTCCAGGTTTGACAGAGGAATAACTGAAAAAAGGTAACGTTTGAATTGCAGCCACAGTTTGTTTTGTGAGTCTAAATTTGGTTGAAGATAAACACCCTGAATCAGGAAGTATTATTTTCACCATTGGCACCTGAAACAACATTTTTAATATTCAATCAGTTTCAATGACATAATTAAACTAAATGAGTTTCTGTGCTTAATGTCCTGTTTAATCATCCCGATAGTCATTTATTGTACTTGAGAAGCAATTCTAAGGGTACAAATGCTGACTAAACCAGATGGTTCATTTCCATCTGTATATAGCACAGTTGGTACCACCTAGGAGGGCAGAAATGGAAATACAGACTCTGATATACCTGAAACCAAACGAAGCAGCTTCTCTTCTATAGTTCCATTATATTTCTCTCTAAAACATTTTCCTTCTTTTAGTTCATTAACAGAGATTTGCATGCATAGTGTAGCATAAGTCATTGCATCAAAAGTCATCAGCTTAAACAATACTGTGGTGACATTAAACCTCTTCGCAATGAGCACGGGCATGTATCAACCGACAGACGAAGACAGCTTGGGTCTGACTGTCTTGATTGAAGCTGGTGTGCTCTTTAAGTTCAAAGTTTGGAGAAATCCACGATTCCTAAATACAGTAGTTTTGAATATGAGTCTGGCCCTAGTATTGCACACAGTGAAGTATTTTGGGGTACCATGTGGTAATAGTTAATAAAAATGTAAAAAGTTGTAAAAAATACCTTATGAGGCTTACTGTTTAGAACTTTTTTCCCAGGTATTTAGGTTAATTTGATTAGGGTATGAAAGAGGTACATAGAGGAGCTCAAGTAGTGTAGTTCTCACTGAACTGAGACTGACAGAACATTACTTCATCCTAACCTAACTTTTATAAGTGCATATTTCTATCAATGCACAACAAGGATTTGAAACAAAGAAAACTCAGCTTATTCAAGAACAAATAAACAAAAGAAATCTCTTGGTCATGGTGCTTTGTTTGGTTTTGGAAATAAAAAGGAAGCTTAATGAATCAGGTCAGTTATTGCCTGGAGCAAAGTAGTTCTGATTCTGTCTTAATTCCCTGCCAGAAAATATTCCAAGCTAGGCTTCTAGCACAGCAGAAAATTTCAGAACAGAGCAGCTAACTTCAAACATTCCAAATTATTTATTTGTAAATTTGTAATTATCGAAATTACATGTAGATGAGTGTTTTCTAGAAAAATCTCTTTTTGTTCATAGGGGATATTCTGATGGTTAGTTCACTTTATTATTAACTTCAGTTACCTTTTAATAATTGTAGTGACTAAAACTGTTGTTTAGATACACAGATAGAGAATTTTTGTTCACCACAAGTTTGCTAGAAGTAGCATAACAGTATAAAAGCCCCAAACTAGCATGCTCTGGTTTTCTTTTCTTATTTTTCAGCCCTATTTCTGATCTATTTCACGAGTACTGTTACTAGATTTGGGGATTTCTGAGCAGTCTCATGTTTCGCTGCATTTTTGTCTGAAAAAGTATATGCTGTAATAGGTTCTTTATCTGTCTAATCTGTTTACCTCTTTTCTTACTAAACTAGACTTCTTCCTTTTCTATCTTGGAATATTCACCATTTCTCAACTTCAAATTAAATACTCAGCATATGAAAAAATGTATTTCACTAATATTGAAAAATTAGTCTTGAAGGGAAGGAAGTCAGTAGAATTGTTCTACATGAAGTTGGAATACATGCTTAGTGTATGGATTAAATGAAAAACATGCATTCATTCCAGAATTCCATTTATGTAACAATAGCTGATTGAAGTCATACAGCCCATTTCTTTAGTCAAGCTAATACAATTATAATACCGTTTAAATGGTGAGATTGCCAGTTAGGTGGAAGGAGGTTCAGCTCTTTGGTTTAGCTTTAGATGCTGAAGAATTTTTCCAATAGTAGTAGTGGAACATAATCTGATGATAAATTCGTACCTGCTCTAAAATATGAGAGCATAAAATAAAATTCTAAAATAAAAAAAATATTTTTACGCACCTTAACAATTTTGAATTATGTTTTACAAGAGTAATGTTAAGACAAGATTCAGAAAGGCATTTCAAGTTAAGACATTTTTGCCCTTTCCAGGTGTGCAGAGGTAAGCTTGAAATCTGGTGGGTGCATGTTTCCTTAATAAAGCTGGTTTTGGAAAGTGGGTATACATGCCATTTTTCAGAGGGTATTTCTACCCACCTTTGTAGTCCAATACAGAAGGAGATTCCTTCAAAACAGAACATAGGAATGCTAAAAGCAAGTTCGTAATTAAAATACATTTTAAAGGGTGTTACATCTTAAAGAAGTTCTTCCGAATTTCTGAGTTAAGTTTCAGACATTTTCTGTTTTGTCTGTCCTTTTAAGAACATGAGAGGTTTTGATTATTTAGAGAAAGATATTTTGATTATAAATAGTTGCATTGCTTAGTATATTCTAGCACAGCAACTGGAAAGCAGTAACAAGAAAATGGGATTTTAAAAAAAATGGGTTGCAAGTGTGTGTGTATATATATGTAAAATATTCATCTATTTAAGGACACAGGTCCATATATCTTTCCTTTTTTCAGCTTTTAAGATAGGTCAATGAAATGAATATATGTAGGTGAGGATGAACCGAATAAAATGTTTTTTAAAAAGGGAGGGCAGAAAGAATCTTTCTGTGGCCATTCAGGTTTAGTAGATCTGAATGCCCAATAAGATTCTTCATGAGAAATGAATGATATTCCCCATTTGCTCAATGCAACAGGCTCGTAATTCAGTTGGTTAAAAGCCATTTTGCAGGAGTTTGCAGAAAGCTGGTTTGAAGATTTCTTCTGGGTTTTGCTATGGCTGCAGGCATGCCCTGCTGTGGTACATTTCAGAACTACAGGCGTCAGTGAACGACTTCACTTTAGTTTTAAAATATTGAGCGGTAATTAGTGATGGAAATCGGTAAGTGATAGGGGCAAGATAGCTGAGAATAAGCATACCAGAATTTTTACCTCATTAGCCACAGAATTGTTTAGGACAAGTCAGTTAATGACTCTACCTAATTTATGCTGTTACAGAATGAATGAAACAGTGATGTCTTAAGGAAAGTAAATGGAGAACCGTACATTTATGGCAAACTTGATAATTGTAAAGCAGTATCGTGTAACTTTTGAAGTGAGGTGGGCATCTAAGGAACAACAGATTAAAACCCAGCAAAGAATAGTAGTTTGTCACAAATACTGCAGTGACAAGGCAAAGATTAAAGTGAGTATTGTAAGCAGTATAATTGTTTTATTATCACAAAGGTTGAACTGTTTAGTTGACTTAAAGACTCTTAAACCACAAATAGCTTCAAAAGGAGAGTAAAAATGCTTTTTCTCTCCATGCCCCTATGCCCCCCGAAAGGAAAATGTAATTACTGGACTATGTTCTGATTCCATCTGGTCTCATTCTTCTGATCTCCCACAGCTGCAAGTCTGGGGATAATGACTGGTCTTAAAATAGAATTTATTTAAAACTATAGCACCTAGGGTGAAAAACAATTGTTAAATAATAGAATACTTTGTGAGCAGGTTCTAGTTAACCATTTGTCCATCCATAGTTCACTTGGAGGTATAAACACGTTGGTCGTCTTTGTATACAATGATTTTTTCTCAAGGCTAACAGTTTGTGTGTTACTGTCTATTTTCATAGTTTCCAAACTACTTCCTTCTTCAAATACAGGAAAGAGTATTTAAAAAAACCCAAGCCTAGTAAACTTTCAATTGTAGCTCGCTCTGTCAACTTTGTGTTAAGAAATGATTGGTTTTCCTCTGTGTTCTCACAGTGACTTACACGTATTGGCATAACGTAATTTTCTATTGCTAAAGGATAAAATATAAAGTCTATTTCAATGAATAGCTTTATCTATCAGTAGTTTCTGATCATTATGTATTTATTTTTTATCTATTTCATAGGAGCACTACTGATCTGCTTTATATCTTTTCAAATTCACTACCTACTAAGGATATCTCTCTTCAAACATTTTAAATATTGCTTCAATAATGAAGTTTTTGGATTTTTTTTAATAAGCTTTTTTTTTAATAAGTTTTTTTTTAAATAAGCTTTTATTAACTGGCCTTAAATATGTCATAACAGTAAGTTGTTCTTCAATTTCAAACTTTTTTTAGAAATAGCCAGTGTGCAATTGCGTAGACTGATCTTTCGCAAATCCTCTTTTAGAAAATTTTTCCAAACTGTAAATCAGAATACTTTTGATCGTTTCTAGGAATTCCTATTTGTGTTTCCACAGCTCATAGCAAAATGTTTCTAAGAGGCTATAATCTTAGATGTACCTAACATTTGGTTCAATATAGTAATAAGAGCCCTAAATAAAGGATTTCTGTACAATAAAGCATGAAATATTTCTCAAAAGGAATTTACTTAAGATAATGATACAATTACCTAGTTAAGCAAAGGATCCTTCTCAGAAAAACTTAATGTACATTTTGGTTTGTTTGAGAGTAATAGAAATCTCTCTACATACTGAGTTTGTTTTCGAGTGCACGTCAGATTCTTCTTGCTGTTTGGGAATCTCTTGATTTAATTGAACATCCCCTTGAAGATTTTTCTCTGTATTGATTTTTCAAGTTCGAAGATGTGAAATTATCTTCAGAAATATTTTTTCTATGCCTGTAAATAAACCGTAACTGAGAAAGATGAGAGAAATTGCACACATATTTTCACTTCATTTATGTAACAGTATTCCAAGTTACAAGAATTAACTGTGTGAAGCTAAAGATTATGTAAACTTCGTTAGTGACAACATTGCTTTTAAAAAGGGAATCTAATGCGTGTGTTTAATGGACGTGCAGCCTAAGACTTGCAATTAAGCATCCATTCTTGACTGAGAATAATATAAACAATAGGGATTATTTTTGGTATGTAATTATATTGGCCTCAATATAGATTTTTAAAGTGTAACAAATCTCTCTCAGTACTATAGTAAAAGTATTGCATAAAATATTTAATGGTGGTTCTTTTTATTTTTTTAGCTATATATAACTTATATTGCATGTTTTCAGGTACTCATGTCATGGAAGGCTCTGGACGAATGCTTGTAACTGCTGTGGGTGTGAATTCTCAGACAGGCATCATCTTTACTCTGCTAGGTGCTGGAGGAGAAGAAGAAGAAAAGAAAGATAAGAAAGGTAAATTTCACAACACATAAGGATGCTCCGAAGAAAGCTCTTGGGCTTTGTGTAGCCAGAGCTCTCCTCCATTCTTGACAAATAAATACGATTTTTAAAACTTCGTTTTTTGTATACATTTTTGTCATTATATGTCACACAGAAAAACAGCAAAAGCTGTTAACCAATAAATACATTGGATAACAAGATGTTTTTCCAGTGTGAAATTGCAGACTGTCAGTACATAATTAAATGCAAGGGAATAATACATAGGCATACTCCCATTGCCGTGTCTTCTTTACATAAATCCATACTCACCTAAAATTGGCTAAGGTTTTGCTCTTGTGCATTTACATCTATGTAATATTTTTTTTGGGAAAAAAAAAAAAACCTTGGCCATGGAAATAGCATCTTTCTTTGAGCTTCAAACATAAAATAAAGATAAGTTGTGGCTTTTTGCTAGCCTGGTTGTTCAACGTCAGAGAGTGACTTTAGAGTAATTTTAATTTCTTAAGGAGTAAAGGTCAGACTAAGAATAGTAAAAGAGAAGAAAGTAGCAGTATATATTAACAAAGAGTTTAATTTTGATGTCCTGTATCAGTTAATGAAATAAAGAAGTCTCTTTAGTCTTTTCACCCTATTATAGTGTGATGTCATAAGCAATTGCTAATTTATGGGTTGCACACTAAGCAGAAACATGATTTAATGTGTGTCCTTTCCAGTTTTTGTTCATACAGTCTTGTAAATTGTTCATGTCTACTTTCAGAATTTCATTCCCAGTTTGTTCTAAGAATATTTATCTTTCAGACATAATTAAGGGCCAATTAATATGGGGTTTTTTTAGACATTTCCACTCTTTTTAGTGGTTTTCACCATTAATAAAAAAGAGTAGTTATACTTTATTGAACCTTTTCCTTAGTATCTGTCAGGCAGTGCGATTCTACCTTTTTTTCATCTCCATCCTTTTAATTTGAAGCTGCAGATAGGATGGCCAAATTTAAATGGTTTTCATGACCTACAATTTCAATTTCTGAATATGTTCAACAAGTGCTTGCGCTTGACTCCGTGTTTCTCTGAGGAAATCCCTTTTTACTTGATGGAAGACTTTATGAAATGTTTACCATTGCATTTCTACACAGAAATGCGCAACACCTGCTAGGCATGGCAAGTTCTAGGAACATTAAAAGGAGAAAGACTGAAACTTCCCAAAGTAAAACTCTTTCATGTCAGACTAGTTTTGAACAACATCTTAGAGTTTGATCTTTCTGTCATTAAGAGAAAGACTCCTAGACACAGACCTTTCGAGCTCTGCCAGCATCTGTTTTGGCAGCGTCTAAGGATATTGTAGGTGAGAAGGAGCAGCTTCGGTACCTGTTTGAAAGGGATAGCTGTCTGCCCGGAGGTCCTCTGTTTAACTGGGTTGGCTTCTCTGTATGTCATGTGCTCAGGACACTGGTGATTCTCTCACGTTTCATTGTGGATAGCCTTGAGAGATCTGAGACAGCAGAGTCATGCACTGCACTGTGGTCGTAACTTACTACCCAGAGACAGAGATACTCAGAGGTGTGTAAGGACTTTTTATGCAGACACTGAATCTAACTGGATATAGCTACAATAGGAAGAAAATTCCTTCACGTTTTCTAATGTTGCTAGCAGCTTTGTGCTAGCGCAGAGGAGTGCCTGGGCAGAGCTCATGCCCAAACTCAAGTAATGTACTCTCATATACAAACCTGCAATTCTCTGAAATCCTGCCAGTCATAAATGTTTGTTTCAGTCTTATGGGGGTGTATGCTTTTATTGTTCATTAACATTTTGTAAAAATCATCATACAGGTATGAAACAGGAGGATGGACATCAGCTTCCAGGTAGAGTAAGAACTGTAACACATCAAATGAAAGGATGAGGCTTCTAGCCAGCAAGCTTTGGTGCAAATCAGGGTTGAACGAATGATTGAAATAATTGTCTTTGAATCAGTCCGGTTAAATTAAAGAGTAATTTCAAATCAACAGGATTGTTCGTGGCAGACATTTCAGTGTGCATGCATTGTTGGTGTTGCAAATCTTAATGTTAAGCTTGAGTAATCAGTTATTCTCCAGAAGTAAATTACAGTATATTAAATGTTGAAATGCATGATTTGCTGTTAGCAGTTCATGCTGTGCTGGTTAGTGTGAGTATCCAAATGGAATAAAAAATAAGCATGAGTAACCAAAACAGTTTAAGTTATTACCATCACAGTAATCAAATTTGCAATTGAAATTTTCATGAATGTAGTTACACAGGGTGTATTTTAAAATCCTGTATGCTGTTTATTTTCTTCTCCCAGTTTACCATTTGTAAATAAAACATGACCGTTTTTGTTGAATAACAAACCAGTGCAGTGTGAAACAGTCACTATGGGTCAAGTACTGAGGAAGTTCAAGTTCTTGAATTCATTGTAGGACTTCTGTGTTCTATTGTGAACAATTAACCAACAGAAACAAAACAAAACCTATTTTTCCTATTAATTGTAAAGACTAATTTTCTGAACTTTAGTATGAAAAAAAGGTAATAAAACCTTCTTCAAGTTTTTCACCTTTCTGTTAGGAAAGATTGCTTGACCAACTTCTCTAATATGCAGATAACTGCTGAAAACAAAATGAGGATTTTTTTTTTTTCTGATACTTTTTTCATTTCACCACAAAACAGACAGTTACATAATGTCTATTATTTGGATTTAAAATAACTCATTATTCTCCTCAAGACTGTATTTGCCATTTCCACATACAATATTGAAAAGTTTAATGTTTCAACTCAGATCAATGTGCCTATTAACTAGGTTATGGCAGGACATAGATTGAGCCCATGTTAGACTGGGATGTACCAGCAATAATGCATCATAATATGCAACATTACATAAAATACAAAGGTATGTAATGTTGTATATACTATGTAGTATGCTGCATATTTTAAAACTACCCATGCACTGCATAAATTCATTAACTCAAGGGAAATATTTCAACAACTTTAGTATTTGCGTAACATTATATTAAAGTAAAAAAAATTACACATAAAAGGACCGAAGCAATGTACATAGTACTGTGTACAGTCAGTTCTCACCAACTCTGTTAATTTTTGTTAAATGTCTTTCATATTTATTTATTTAATTATTATTATTATCCCATGTATGAGTTTTTGCCTTACTTTGTAACACCTTTGTAATGACATATTGCTTTTGAAAGTTACATTAATTAATTTAAAACAGATTGATTTTGGAGAAAGCAAAGCCATAGTATTCCATAAATGTTTTTTGTTTTGTCATGTGCATTTGTTCATGATGATGTTATTATTATTATTATTATTTATTGTTTTTTTATCCATTATTACTCAGTAGATTCTTCCCATCCCTCCTCCCACCCTCCTTCAGCTACAGATGGTGCAGCAGGTGCAAATGCCACTGATAATGCAAATGCCAGCTTAGTCAATGGTACGTCAAGAACACCTAGCTTGTTTTATTTGATAGCTTTCTCTCCTGGCTATATAAGATTCCCTCTTCCTTTTATGAACTGCACAGATGTTGTATGTGCATGTGATCACCCTCTGAGAGATCCTACTCTGTAAACTCTATAGCAGCTTATAAGAGATGCCACAAAGATGTTGCGACCTACTTTATTCACACAGAATTAAGCATGGGAGAGGAAGAAGTAGGAATTATGACCTATTTGCCATTAATTAAAACTGCAATTAAAAGGAACAGTTAAATAAGGCTAGTTTCAAAACTTTTGAGTTGCCTTTACATGAAATTTCATTGTAAAGCTCTTTACACATTTGTCAGCATAGATCTGAAGAACACCATGATAAATGGATTATACCTTCTTTTCTTCGGATGTGGCACTCTCATAAGTATTCAAATAGTCTTCGTGTAGTTCTGAAAAATAGTGCTGGGGTCAGGAATCTGGCTCAATTTCAACTAACAGTGCTTTAGGAATAACTTTTGCTGCTTTGTGCATCTTTTTTGGAAGACACTAACTGAAAAGTTGTTTGTGGATATTTGTGTATGCCCTTAGATAGCGATCATCTAATGAGCCTGCCTGTATTTACTAAAAAGAAAAAAAAATTACTGTAGTCAATTTTTACTGTCTCTTAGTACAGATTCTTGACTCCACTTCTTAGCATGCAGATATTTCAGTATCTCTTCTAATAGTCTAATTCCAGTATTAAATTGAATGAGTCAATATTAGTCTAGGCATCAACTGTATTTTTCTGATAATCAGATACATTAGTCTTTATTTGCCATAGAAACCTTTCCCTTTTGTACAGCACCAATAATACTGACAAAAGTAATTCTATTTTTCATGGTGTTGGTGATAGAAATTTTTTTCCACGCAGGTCAGTAGTAGCTGCTTTATGCATGTGAAACTAGAGTTTCTGACATATTTACTAGTGTAATATCTTACTTAAAGCAATGACATAGGAAATCTTTGAGCCTATTTTTAAATAATTTTATTATAATTTAAAAGAAACATATAACCAGATTTAAAATTTTACTCCTGCACATTCTAAGTTTGCTGGAAAACTAGGATTTACGATCCCTACATCTCACTGCATGACAGGAACCTGTATCATCCTGGTTCCAACACCCCAATTTCAGATTCCTTAGAGACCAAGAACCAGGAAATTAATGATGAATATTTCATTCCCCATTCTTTATGCTCTATAATTCTACTCTGTTGTGTGTAAAACAAACATACGCATACAACAAACTCTTACCAGATATCCTCCTTCAATCCCACTGGAGACTGCAGTATTACATTTATGCTCAGTCCTGCAAGTTGCCGAGTACTAAGTTAAGCATCTGCTTAAGTGCTTTGCTGGATGAGAACCGTTGCTCAGCAAGATGCAGAAATGAGTCCTAAATTGTTCTAACCTGGTCTCTCTGTTAGCAAGTTTTAGTTGCCTGGTAAGTATCTGTTGTGTTTAGTCTTAATGCCTGAACTTAAGGCGGAAATTGAGTTCCAGGGGATATTAAATCAGTGTCTTAAGTAAGTATGTGATTTTCCATCATCTTCTTTCCCATCAGAAACAATAGTTACTGTCCCTGTTTATCTTGGATTTGAGAGATACTTATTGAATTCTTTTCAGTGCACCAAGCGTAGAAGTCAATTTTTTGTGCAGCTGAATATGTTTTTGCTTTTAACTCTTCTGAGGTGAGGTGGTTGAATTAATTCTGCAGATCTTTGATCAACATGGAAAGGAGATGCTTTCCACAATTCAACTTACCTGTCATTGTGTTCAGAGGAGAACCGAGACTTGGCAAGTAGAGTTAGATCTGAGTGCCTTGAAATTGTCTGGGAAATTGCCAAAATCTAATTTCTGTTTATACTATACATTTTTCTAGTCACCAGTGATGATGAGTTAGAGAATACTTAAAATGTAGATATGTTTTGGAGGGGCAAAAGGAAGGAAAAAAAAGTTCTAAAGCAAGGAGACCAAGTTCATGTAGATATTTTTTCAGTGTGGATGAAATGAATTTTTTAAATAATGTCTGAGAATTCTCCCTGAGATGTGACTGGCAACAAGCATTTTTACCTGAAGTCTAATACCACTGTGTAGAAAATACCTTCAAATAAGAAAAAAATACTATATACTTGACTAAGTACTTAGCTCAGGAAATGCTATTGCTTGTTACTTGAAAATCAACTCATTACCATTTCAAATAAAATAGTTATTCTCTTAGTTGTCAATATACATTTGACAGAAAAGAAGTATTTTGTTTTCAGTCAGTGAGCTTATAGTGATAAATTCATATAGGTTTGTGACACAGCCTGTTTGTTATCTGCTGTATTGAAGGAACTACTATAAATTCTATTGAAAACTAGTAGTTGAGGTTAAAATACATAATTGTTTGATGGTCTCTTTGTTAAAGCTATCGATAATATATTCAGTTTTTAAAAGGTTACAAGTTAAGGTTATGAGCAGATCAGAAAGGTAGTAATTAATGAAAATTCATTTAATTTTTAAGTATTGTATTTAGAAAAAGTAAATTTTTTTAAAGAAAATATGGGAAGCAACAATCACTGTTTACAGGTTATTTACCCCAAATTTGATTTCCTTAGAGAAAGGAGTGCTTATCATTGTCCAATAGAGCACTACCCAATTCCTCAGTCAGGATTTCCATGTTGGGTTGTTGGCTTTCTTTTGGTATTTGGTACTCAGAGAATTTGTTACTTAAAATTGTATTCGGATATAGAAACACCGTACCAGAGTCGGAGAAATGTCTCAGCTGAAATACTTTACATCTACTGTTAATTCTGTCCATTCTGGCATATGTACACTAATGTTCAATTCCTGCAAAGCAATTTGCAGTTCTAATATATTTTAAAGTATTTTCTGAATTGTAAGTGAAGTTATTTAGTGAGTGCACAGAAGAATTATCTAAAACTCCCTATTTGATACAGTGGAATCAGATTTATTCTTTTGTAGTTGACCTGTGTTTTACTAATGCATTGGCTCTGATATCACACTGCATGAAAGAATACCTAAAGAATACCTAATTATTGAGTTGAGATATGTTTGACGTCACTTCCCTCCCATGTATAGATTTGCAATGCGCGTCTGTTCTTACTAGCTGCAGAATATAACTGACTTAGCGTAAGAGGGCTATAACTCGTTTCTGTTGTAAGATGAGACATTTTGGAAAATCACTAGGGTATTTTGTATTTTTTGCTCCATCACAGCACATGAGAACGTAACTTGATCAGCTGCTTCAGTTGATTCCAAGCAGTTGCTCCAATGAACAGGCCTTGGAACAGGCTGCCCAGGAAAGTGGTAGAGTCGCCATCCCTGGAAGTATTTAAAAGACGTGTAGATGAGGCGCTTAGGGGCATGGTGATGTTGGGTTGATGGTTGGACTTGATGATCTTAGAGGTCTTTTCCAACCTTAATGATTCTATGATTCTATGATTTCTAATGTCAGTGATAGGTCTTTGTTATTCTGTCTCATTGACTCTTCATAAAGGGCTGGGGGAGGTAAAGGGCAGTCTTTCTTGGAAAGTTCGTTTGAATAAGTAACTGGATTTTGGGGTAAGAACTTTGGCAGTAATATGCCATGGGTATGTTCCAAAAGACAGAAGTTTTAATAAGGCAAAGGCAACATGCAAAACATTTTATATTCAAACTCAAAAACTTTAAAGCAACTGCAGAATACAGCTCACATTAGGAGGCTCTATATTCTTTTCTAAACCTTCTGATTTTGCATCCTTGCTATCAAAAGTGATAAAAATAAACTCAGATTAATTCCTCCAGATTTCAGGGCCCAAACATTGTTCCTTTTACTTACTTATTTCCAAAAAGAAAAGAAGAAAAAATTTGCAAAATTCTGTAAAAATATATCATATTTTTACATATGATATATCATATATCATATATATCATATAAAAATACTATCAAAATATTTATAAATACTCATCCTTTTAATGTTTCTAAACAGTGCACAACAGTCAGAAAGATGGGATAATATTTCTGGTCCTAGCACTAACTGAAAGGAGAAAGGATTTCTCAGCAGTAGTGATTCTATCATCTTAATTTCTTTCTTACGTTCTTTCTTCGTTCATAATTTATAGCCAAATGCAGGCTTAAAATTATTTGGAACAGGAGGAAATGAATCCTTTACAGCATTCTATTTTTTTATCATAGTTACCTGAATTACCTATTCTTTGTTAGTCTATCTAAATAATTGGAATATAACTAGCTGTGATGACTTCCGCCCTCCCAATAACCTACATGCAGTAGCTGCTAAGTTTAAGAATATATTTCTTAAATACTTATGTTTACATTGTTGTTAATGATTGTCCATTTTGTATTTTTAGGTAGCCAGGGTAGTTGATTAGTGTAATTCATTACGACAATTATGATACCCCTATTAAATAGCAAATATATATCATAAAGTTAAATACTTCGATTTACATAGAAAACCAGGGTATTTTGTGTTTGGCAGTTATGAAAGTCATAGGTTTGGGGTTTGTTTGGGTTTTTTTAAGATGAAGAATCTTCAATTATATGACTTTAAGGTTTTGAATTGTATTCTGAAAGAGGAACTATAGAGCGGGACATAGAGCAGACTGTCTACTCTAAATTAGTGTTTTCCAGTTCTTAAGGAAGGCTTTATCCTCTAGCCAGAAATCAGAATCTCTAGACATGTTTTATGTCTTCCACTGACTTTATTAAAAAACATTCTAAGAAAAATAGCCATTAGGCAGATAGCAAGTTCAACTATGCACTGTATGCAAAAATTTTTAAGCAGATTTCATAATTAAAATGAACTTGGTTTTGTTCAGGTTCATAGATTCATGTCTCATGGCAAAACGTAAGTCTTTGGAAGGTAGATATTGCCTTTTTAAAAGTCATGTTATAGCCAAGGTGGGAATAGAGTCAGAAATATAGACAAGCAGTTGATGTGAAATGGTTTACTTCAGCATACTTCAGTAATCCATCTGAGTACTGAGATGGTTTTATGTAGCAAAACATCCTTTCCTTTGCTGTAATTCTATGCTTCTGAATTTCTCAGTGCCTATTAGTATGGGGTGAAATGTTGTAGTGATAAATTTATGACTGATTTGGCGATTTTTGCTTTTTGAGAGGGAAGTTTTTAGTGATCTCTCAATTACTGAAAATACAAACATGCAAGAAATGCATCTTAGCCTTTTAATTTTGCTACTGTTTATTCACAGCATAGAGTGAAAAAAGTACTATGTATGTTGAAGCATAATTTCTGCTGCTTTATTGTGCATGTTAATACCAGCAGGAAGTCGGAAG